TTCAGCTGTAATCTTTCTGCACAATTTGTTGCTTGAGTTACATTAATTACCACTAAAATTGATATGTTTCTAATTAAGAAAATAAACCCCCTTTGTGATGAGCAAACCACATGGAGTGGTTATAGAGGAAACTACAAAAGAATTGTATGCACAATAAAGGATATATGAAACCCATCTCTTATATATATTATTATATTATATATATTGAAAATCTTACATGGGATTGGTTTAACCTCTGGTTTCTTAAACTGAACTACCACGTCACGAAAGGATGCATGTCTAAAGAGTGTGTAACCAACATGAAAAGCTTGGAGAGTGGTATTTAGGTCAAATGCCACTGTTGTCTCCAGTGAAAATCTATGTATATGTAGGTCTGAACTCTCAGCTAAGCTCTTTCAACACTCCACACTTTCACGGGGTTTCTCCCTAGTGTGAGTCCTTTGATGTGATCGTAGATTTCCACTCTGAGTGAACCTCTGTCCACATTCTAGGCACTTATAGGGTTTCTCCCCAGTGTGAATCCTTTGATGTTTACGTAGACATCCACTCTGAGTGAACCTCTGTCCACATTCCAGGCACTTATAGGGTTTCTCCCCAGTGTGAATCCTTTGATGTTTACGTAGACTTCCACTGTCAGTGAAGCTCTGTCCGCACTCTAAGCACTTATAGGGTTTCTCCCCAGTGTGAGCCCTTTGATGGGAACGTAGGTCTCTACTCTGAGTGAAGCTCTGTCCACACTCCAGGCATGTATAGGATTTCTCCCCAGTGTGAATCCTTTGATGTGAACGTAGACGTGAACTACGAGTGAAGCTCTTTCCACACTCCAGGCATTTAAAGGGTTTCTCCCCAGTGTGAGTCCTCTGATGACTATGTAGTGTTCCCCTCAAAGTGAAGCTATGTCCACACTCCAAGCATTTATAGGGTTTCTCCCCAGTGTGAGTCCTTCGATGCCTACATAGAGATGAACTTTGAATGAAGCTCTGTCCACACTCCAAGCATTTATAGGGTTTTTCCCCAGTGTGAGTCCTTTGATGGGAACGTAGGTCTCCACTCTGAGTGAAGCTCTGTTCACACTCCAGGCATGTATAGGGTTTCTCCCCAGTGTGAGTCCTTTCATGTCTATGTAGATGTGCCCTCTGAGTGAAGCTCTGTCTACATTCCAGGCATGTATAGGGTTTCTCCCCAGTGTGAATCCTTTGATGGGAACGTAGACCTGAACTATAAGAGAAGCTCTTTCCACACTCCAGGCATGTATAGGGTTTCTCCCCAGTGTGAATCCTTTGATGTATATATAGCTTTGAACTCTGAATGAAGCTCTGCCCACATTCCAGGCATTTATAGGGTTTCTCCCCAGTGTGAATCCTTTGATGTGAACTTAGAGATGAACTTTGAATGAAGCTCTGTCCACACTCCAGGCATGTATAGGGTTTCTCCCCAGTGTGAGTCCTTTCATGTCGCTGAAGAGAATCCCTCCGACTGAAACTCTTTCCACACTCCAGGCATTTAGATGCTTTCTCCTTCATATTAACAGTGATATGGGTGTTTAGTTGCAACACAGAAACTTGACTCTTTCTGTTTTCTTTTCGTGTCTGTAAGACAGGTCACAAGTTCAGCAACGTCCTCACCTTGAGATAATTTCTTCATACATTCCTGGTTTCCTTCCTCAACCCAAGAGGTGGATCCATAGAATCCTCATTTCCCTGGTCAAGAAAGAAGCAAAAGGTCAAGTGTTGGGGCCAAAAATGTGTAAAGTGAATTTCACAAATTAGAATGGGTTACTGAGGAATGTAAAGAGAAAAGTGAGGAGGGAGTGAAGAGGAGCAGAAAGGAGTGATGGAATGTAGATAGACCAGTGGTTGCGGAGTGCTGGGAAAAGACATCTGGGTGAGAGGTAGAAAGAGATATCAAGTTGACCTGAAAAGATGGGAGTGGGAAGAAGATGAGAGCAGAATGGAAAGAAATGGTTTTCAGAACTGCGCAGAAAGAATAGTTATGCTTTGCTCTGGAACAAAGAGAACACAAGAGATTGTTGATAGAACAACAGAGAAAACAAGAGGGTGTTTATGAGCAGAAAGAGAGAGGCATTGGAGCAGAGGTGACAAGCTCTGAGGAGAAAAACGGGAAGGAAGGTTTCGATATGTGTATGCGTGTGCATCTCGGCATAAAATTGAGACTGTAATATCCATGATCGAGAGACAGAGAAACGTGGCACTTTTCTTGACGCTATCTTTGGCTCCTGACACCAACCCCCTTTCTGCCATCGCAGGAAAAGCACCATCCAAGCCTTCCTGGCAGATGGCCACCCAGCTTCATAGGCATGATGATCTGCCTATCTGTCCATATGGCCATCTGTCGGGAGGCGGAGCTATGGACTGACAGGCAGAGGAGTTTATGTATTGTTTATGTATTACGGAGGAGATTACGACGACGCCTTTCTCCAGGACGGGCCCAAGGCGGCTCACATCGCATTACAAATATACAAACCAATAATTGAAAACCGTAAATGAACACATATTAGAGAGGTTCAACAATCCTTAAAAACTTCCCATATTACCAAACACTGAAAGTTCAAATCGGTGTAAACTTCCCACTGGGTTGTATCCGCAAGTGCCTGGCTTCAGTTCCAAGCTGCTGCAAAGAGGGAAGTCTTCCCGCCTTCCCACCCTGTCACGAGGGGGGGAGCAGATCTGGTTTCCTCACAGAGTTGGGAAGGACCCACCCAGGGCCCCCCGGTCCAAGGAAGGAAGGAATGAAGGCACCCCCCAAGCCCTCTTGGCAAAGGGCCATCCTGCCTCCAATGAAAGAGGGCAGAGACCAGGAGCATCCACCCCTCATGCTCGGCCTTGCTGTCTGCAGCAGCAGCATTCGTGTTTCTTCAGGTGGAGATGGACTGCTTCCTCTGGCCCTTCGGCCAGATCTGGACCACGGCCTTCCACCAGATGCCCCTCGCCTGCTACTACGGCAACCAGGGCGAGCACTTCCTGCCTGCCCTGCGGCCTGGGGCTCTGTCTCCCGGTGGAAAGACACCCAGGGGCCTCTCCAAGGCCCACCCCCTCCGGAGCCCTATCAACAACAACAACAACAACAACAACAGCCTCCTTTGGGGTCTCCCCCATCGCCACTTCAAGGCCTCCCTCCCTCCCCAATGTATTTATTGAGGCAGGAAATGGGGAGGAATAGACCCTCCCTCCCTCCCTCCCTCCCTCCCTCCCGTGGCCTGATCTGCTGGGGCTTCTCACTGCAAACTGGAACCTTTCCCATAAATATCTGCAGCTGCGCCTGGTCTTCTCTGCCTCACGTCAAACTTGAGAGCGGGGACAAAGGCAAGAAACCCCGCTTAGGGAGAAAACAGGAAACGCAAAGAGACAGAACAGGGGGTGGGGGTGCCTGGCTCAACTGCAGGACGTATGGGAGGAAGGGGAACAGGAGCCAGGAATCTCATGCGGCGGCTGAAAAAGCCAGTGGGATGTTGGCCTGCATCAAGAGGGGCCTCGTGCTTGCTGCTACTAAAGGTTTGCAACTAAAAGTTTGCAACGTACTTTTCCTAGGGCTGTTTCTGTTGCAGCTAACACAGTTAATTGTTGGGATAATTGAGTGTATTGTTATCTCGTGTAATTAGTAAGCCACTGTGTGTTTGTCCTTGGAGTATTGCATTGTATTTGAGTTTTGCATTCTCCGTGCTGGAGCACTGCGTTTTGCAGGCTTTGCTTGGGGCTCGGTTTGAGCTGAAAAACCCTTGTTTGTTTGGTGCCAGGAGAAGTTATTCCAAGTGTCCAGAGCTGAAGGTAAGGCGGCAAGTCAAGGTCACTCCACAGACAACTGAGGAAGAGGGACCGTATATTGCTTTTTTTTTGTTTACAAGTCTGCATAGCAACGTGGAATGAAGACGACTCGCCAGAGAGACTGTTTTATGTTATCATGTTTTTGGTGAGAGCAATTCTTCTGTTTTGTTTTGTATGCTGTGAATAGAATCATAGAATCCTAGAGTTGGAAGAGACCTCCTGGGCCATCCAGTCCAACCCCATTCTGCCAAGAAGCAGGAAAATTGGATTCAAAGCACCCCTGACAGATGGCCATCCAGCCTCTGTTTAAAAGCATGGCCTGCATCAATAGGAGCAGTTCCACTGCTGAACGGCTCTCACAGTCAGGAAGTTCTTCCTCATGTTCAGATGGAATCTCCTCTCTTGTAGTTTGAAGCCATTGTTCCTCGTGTCCTAGTCTCCAGGGAAGCAGAAAACAAGCTTGCTCCCTCCTCCCTGTGGCTTCCTCTCACATATTTATACATGGCTATCATATCTCCTCTCAGCCTTCTCTTCTTCAGGCTAAACATGCCCAGCTCCTTAAGCCGCTGCTCATAGGGCTTGTTCTCCAGACCCTTGATCATTTTAGTCGCCCTCCTCTAGACACATTCCAGCTTGTCAATATCTCTCTTGAATTGTGGTGCCCAGAATTGGAAACAATATTCCAGGTAAAGTGGTCTAACCAAAGCGGAATAGAGCATTGGGAGCATGACTTCCCTAGATCTAGACACTACGCTCCTCTTGATGCCTGAGGCCAAAATCCCATTGGCTATTTTTTGGCGCCACATCACATTCCTGGCTCATGTTTAACTTGTTGTCCACGAGGACTCCAAGATCTTTTTCACATGTCCTGCTCTCGAACCAGGCATTGTTCCCCATTCATTTGATTTTTTTCTGCCTAAGTGGAGTATCTTGCATTTGTCATTGTTGAACTTCATTTTGTTAGTTTTGGCCAATCATCTCTCTAATCTGTCAAGATCGTTTTGAATCCTGCTCCTGTCCTCTGGAGTCTTGGCTCTCCCTCCCAATTTGGTGCCTCATTGTCCCCCATTCTGTATCGTTTTTCGTTGCATTTCGTTTTTTCTGCCTAAGTGGAGTCTCTTGCATTTATCGCTGTTGATTTACAACTTTATTTCTTTTCTACTTAAAGCTTAAGACTCGAGTGTTTTTCTTTTATGAGTTACTTTATCACACACAGAGTTACAAGGGCCAGAGTCAGTCTGCGGGCTACTTATGCTAAACGCTGACACTGCTTCGGTCCACGGATGTCACGCTCCCTCTCTATTCTGTGCAGCCCTGATCAGGCCATATGACCTGGAGTCATCCTGCATCCAAATCTGGGCTCTGCAATTGAAGGGAGAGGTTGACTCTACGATGGAATCATGCGTCCAGAGGAAGAGGGCGACTCAAAGGTCAGGAGAACAAACCCAGTGAGGAGCGGCTTCAAGAGCTGGGCATGTTCAGCCTGCAGAAGGGAAGGCTGAGAGGAGGCAGGGTGAGGGCCACGTGTCAAGAGGTGGGACCGGGAAATTCAAGGGGGGAAGGAGCAGGTCTCCTTCCGGCTGCCCTGGAGACCAGGATGCAATGGAGCCATGGCTTCAAACTGCAGGAAAGGAAGGAGATTCCACCTCAACACAAACTCGTTTCTCTCTTTCTGCCCCTTGTGGAGTGTGATGGAGGCTCCTTCCTTCTTTGGAGGCTTGGAAATAGAGGGTGGATGGCCATATTTGAATTTTCTTGCTTCTTGGCAGAAGGGGGTTGGACTGGAGGATGGCCCACCAGGTCCCTTCCAACTCTGCTAGCATTCTATATATATGTGTGTGTATGTGTGTCACAAAAATTTAATATGGAGATTTGATAAATGTGGATTTGATATCATGCTGTGTGGGACTGAATGGAAGAATGTGTGGACAGGGGTCGCGTGATGAAAATGTGTTAAGAAGTGATGATAATAAAAACCGCGTCGGAAAAACTGAAGAAAGAGGCTGAATGGCCATCTGTGGGGAGGGCTTGGGTGGTGTCTTGCAGGGGAAGACTGGGTGGCCCTGGGTGGGGGTCTCTTCTGCCCTTCTCCTCTTTCCAGGAGATCCTGCGTTGGAGAGAGGGGGGGTTGCAGTCCTTCCTTTGGGGGGGGGGGTCTTCCTCCCTCCTTGGCCTCTCCCCTCCAAAGCCCCCCTCCAAAGCCCCCTTCCTTCCTCCCAGCCTCAGGGGACCCTTTAACTGAAGAAAGAGGCTGAATGGCCATCTGCGGGGAGGGCTTGGGTGGTGCCTTGCAGGGGAAGACTGGGTGGCCATGGGGGGGGGGGGGGGAGAGGGAGGGGATGTCTTCCGCCCTTCTCCTGTTTCCAGGCCGAGACCCAGCCAGGGGAGGGGGGGATCGCAGCCCTTCTTTTGAGGGGGGTCTTCCTCCCTCCTTGGCCTGCAATGAGGCCCGTCTCTCCCTCCCCCCTCCCTGGAGGAGACCTCTCCCCACAAAAGCCTCCTTTCGGACCCCCCCCCCTTCCTTCCAAAGCCCCCCTCCAACTCTCCTCCTCCCTCCCCTCCTCAGGGCCCCCCCCCTCTCTCTCTCTCGCACAGGCACCTGTGTGCACTTTGGCTTTCCCTCCCTCCGGGTATTTGAGACTCCGACTCCCGGCCTTCCTGACAACCTCTC